TGTGCCTTCGGTGTAGATTGTTCGTGTCAGCTTTCTAACCTTTTATTTCGCTGATTCGGCAATATGTACATACGCGTTGCATACAACCTCATATGTGACGTTGCACACATATATTCACACTCGGTAACGTTTTTGCTTTTGCACTTGTAAGTTGTAAGGCACAATTTTAAATGAATGGGAAACTGTAGAGAGTTTCTTAGGTTTGATGAGAGCCATTTTAAGGAAAAATGGGACTCTTATTTGAGGATTAGGGTGAGGTTGGATGTGAGGAAGTCCTTGAAGAAGGGCTTTACTCCTTCGAGAAGAGGTGTGGGACACTGGGTGGATTTTAAATACGAAAAGTTACCTAACTTTTGTTTCATTTGTTTGGTGATTGGACACTCTGAGAAATTTTGTCCCTTGAAATATGAGGATGATATAGCTTTGGAACAAACTTTTGAGATTAAGCTTCGAGCAGGTGGGGGGGACTAGCCTCACAAGGGGTAATAAGTGGCTAGTGAAAAAAACAGACAGGTCCAAGGCAACAAGGAGGCCTTTTCAAGAAGGTAAAGGCACTGAGGGACAGGGACGAAGAGCGGCTACAACTGGTACAAAAAATAGTGGTACTAAGGAAGAAGGGAATGGAAGCGTTGGGGAAGTATCAGTTGATCAGAAACGCAAAAGGATGTGAGAGGAACAGGCAAATGAGGACACAACGGGAGAGGAGATGGCGTTGGATAAAGCAAAAAACGGGGGGGGGTCCGAATTCTTAGACCCGCCGGTCATACGAGTGATGCTGCTGAAGAAGATAAACTTTGGCTTTTAATTTATTGTTGTTTTGCATTTTAATTTCCACGTTGAGACTGTTGTTTTTGGTTTTTATTTTATTTGATTCTGTAAGACTTTTGCATTAGGATTGGGTGATGAGAGTTTTGCGTTAACCGTCATTGTCTCAAATATGCCCATTTTAGGATTAACGAGTTATATTGCTTTGTCAAAGGTGATTAACTCAGAGTCTGGGCCAAGGACAGATGGTTACTTGTGGTGTTTTTGTTATTTTAACCCCTATCTGAATGCTTTAATTTTAATTTAAGTCTCCTTCTTCCAAAAATAAAAAAAATATTTTTTTATGAAACTAATTAATTAATTAATTACTTCGTATATATGTATGTAACACAACCCAGTGGCGTATCTAGGAATTTCCATGAGTGGGGGCGAACTCGCACTAGAAATTTATTATCTCATAGAAATGTCACAAACAGTGAAACAAATTAAAAAAATATTGTAAAATTATCTATGAATAACAGAAGATTTGTTCAACAAAAAAGTTATGATATCATACTTAATAAATTTCACTATATCAGTAACAAACAAGTCACAATTTTTTTAATTTATTTGATATTATGGTAATAAATAATGAATCATATAAGAGAGGGATGTATTTAGAATTAATTTAAATTGTGGATATATAAGTATATGTAGAAAATACTTTATATTATTTGCAAAAATTTCATGGTTGATCCTTAAAATATATGTCAAACTAAAATTGTTATTACGTTAAAGTATTTTAAATCATACAAATTAGGAAAAAAAACTGAAACAATAATGTATAATAACCACTTAAAATTCATTCTAAAGCTTCAAAAGGGCCAAAATGAAAAATATGGATAAAAAATAACTCAGGGATTCGATCCTTGACCAAGGGAATAGGCTACTGCACGCATGGAGCTATCAACCACTGGACCGGATGTTACTTTAATTACAAACACTGAACTACTTAACTAGTACTCCCTCCGTCCCATAATTATCTTCATTCTTTCCTTTTTGGTCCGTCCCAAATTTACCCCATCTTTCCCTTTTTAGCAAAGGATTTGTGGTTCACAACCATTCTTATACATTTCTCTCTCCTCTGCACAACTCTCCACCACACATTTCCCACTTTCTTAATCTCAGTGCCCAGTCAAAACCGAAGTTAATTCTGGGACGGAGGGAGTATGTAAGAGCTTTATATGTAGCACAAAAAATATATAATTGTAGATTAAATATATATGTATATATAGGGGTAGAGTGGGGGTTGAGTGGGGGCAGCTGCCCCCCCTGCCCCCACGCTGGATCCACCCCTGAACACAAGCATATATGCCAACACTGCACATGTGTTTGTTCTTTGTTGATTAACTTTGGGCGAAAACTTTTTAGAATGCTTTTTTGCTTGTTAATAGTAATTTGCTTCTCAACCATTGTTACTCAATTCCTTCAACAACAAAAAACATTTGGCCATGCATCTGAAATATATATATTTAAGTTATTTCTATCACCTCCAGGCTCCAACACAGCAAATGCACTCAAACAAGCATTTACCATTTAGCTGAATTTTGATATTACCAAAGACTAATTTTCCTCCCACCTCTTCTATCAAACAAGCATCGTACACTACGAATTAATTTTGCGTTACTCCATTTCCCCATCTCTCCTTAGGCCTTTTTGCAACCAAACAATAGGTGCAAGAAAAAATGTGACTTAAATTAATATCACTGTACATTAACTCTTCTTCATCAATAGGGGCGGCTATGGAGGGAGTTACCCTAGACAAGGTGCCTAGGGCCTCCACCTCTAAAGGGGCCTCATTTTTAGTAATGTTTTTATAAAAATAATACAATTAATAAATAAATAAATAAATAAATAAATAAATAAATAAATAAATAAATAAATAAATAAATAAATAAATAAATAAATAAATAAATAAATAAATAAATAAATAAATAAATAAATAAATAAATAAATAAATAAATAAATAAATAAATAAATAAATAAATAAATAAATAAATAAATAAATAAATAAATAAATAAATAAATAAATAAATAAATAAATAAATAAATAAATAAATAAATAAATAAATAAATAAATAAATAAATAAATAAATAGTAATGACATAAAATTGTATTCAAACTAATTGTATTTAAACTAAGTGATTTATAATGCTAAAATTTTTATAGACATGTGAAAAGTTCTACTGATTAATTTATGTTCTTATATTATTAAATTTATCTTAAGTTATGCTAAAAAGTTTAGAGAATTTACTTTTATATTTTTCTTAAATGATACTGCATTCTTTCCTTTCTATTCAGCCAAATTTAATTTTGCAAGTCAATGATGTTAAACTTTGACCAATTATATAATTTTTTGTTGTATTGATAATATGAAAATGATATGAAGATGTCCTTTATTAAAAATACTATCATAAAAGTATAGATTTATTAGGTTATGTGAAATTTATACATTTTACACTTTATGAAATTAATTTTTACATTGAAACATTTGTTTTGAAAGTAAATTTTGTTTGGATTGATAGAATATATAATAACATTTGTACAATTATTTTGTTTATTGTTTTTATTTATAGAATTTTTGCAATTGATCAACCATTATGATGGCTTTCAAGTTTCAACTATTAAGAAAAAATGCATCGAATTTAATATACATAGAATGGGTTCCAACTAAATGAATTGATGAGCTCTAAGCCTTAACATGAAACTCCGAAGCATTATAAGTCTATTTCCTTTTAAATACTACTGACTTTTAAATGAAGTGATATCAACCGGTTGTTAGTTTCAAAATAGTCAAAATACGATACGATTTCAATGAAATGCCATACAGCCCACTTCATAAGTTCGTACGGATATACAAAAACAAAATTGTGAGTTACAACATTTCATGCACATTTTTACTTTTTTCTGCAAAACTGTCCAAATGCAAAACTTTATTTAGAAGATAATTCAAAAAGTGTGGAAGTAATAAAAAGTTTGGATAAAGATGGTTTGATATTGGTTCAGCAACTACTTGAATTCAAACCGTCAAGCTGAGTCGAGGGTCATACCTGGCCCTGAGCCTGCGGGGTGCTCGATATGGATGCGGTCAGGGATGGCAAGACCATGAGGCTCGATCTCTTGGCATATTTTGGTACCGTCAAGCTACATCTTTTTTTGATAGAAAATAATTTAATGCAAAGATTTGGCCGCATCCTCCGCCAAATCGCCAATAGGGCAATACGTACATGTTACTTGTCATGGTCAAAGCATGGCAGAAGGGAAGTCCGAAGGAATGGTGAAACAGACACATAAGTGACTCCTAGCCAATGAGGGTCTACACCAAGCATCAATAGTGATTGTGTCACACCGGTCCGGCGGGATTCGTCGTCTGGAATTTTTTGAACATATTCTTCGTCATGTTTAAATTATACCTACTAAATTTTAGCTCTGAATTCAGTTGAGCAGACAGTTAAATAAATTGTTTAAAAACATTGCGTTCTATCGAGAAGTGCTCCATATGGCTTTGGCCGAACAACAAGTCCTGTCATGTGACTCATGCCAGCCTAATATGAACAGCCCTTCATCTAGCAGTATACCAAAAGAACTAAATAAATATGAAGTTATTAAAAGCTCACACTTTTCAATCCGTCGTGCCAAACATTCTCATAGTGTTTGATAAATAAGTGTTTTTGTGCAATAAAAAAATGAAAAGCAATTTAAAACACTTATTTATATGCTTCCAACTTTAACGTCTAAGTGCTTAACATAAGGAGCACCACTAGATCATTTTAAAACTTTTTTAAAAATGTTTTAAAATTCCAAAAAGAACCTCCATGTTTTTATTCTCTAAATTGAAGTAATTTCTACCAAATTAGAAAAAAACTTGGTAAAAATTGTCATGTTTAAAACCTGATAATGTCAAATTTGACAAAAATTACTCATATTTAGGGAATTAAAACATTACAATTATATTTTGAAATTTCAAAACATTTTTACTCCGGTTTAAAAAAATTCCAAACATTTTTAAGTTCTCTAACACATAGGATGATAGGAGTACACATGCTTCTAATTATAAATCATTGGTATTAAGCATTTAAGAAGAACATGATTATCATGCCCGTTTCAACAATGTGCAACTTCAGTCATTTCAGCAAGTTTTAGCCCTACAAACCACAGTGAACGCTGAATTTTGCTTCTATACCCTAGAGTAGTAATAACAACAAAAAATCAACAATCACATAAATATATGGAGTACATAATAATACTAAAGTTCCTCAAAAATGCAATAAAGCTTGACACATATACTAGAGAATAATTAATTATAAAGATTGAAACAGTGCCATTTCTTCTACTAAAATTCGAAGAACAAAAGAGTTAGGAGCTAAACAACCGCCTATACAGCTATGAAAATAATTATCTTTTGCTAATTTCTTGTCCATGTGAAGCAAATTAAACTCAGCAGTCTAAGCTGTAACTCAATGGTAGAAGTGATCATTTTAGTCCCTATGAATGGTCACCATTTGGTCCCCATATTGTTCATACAAGAATTAGAATCAAATCCCATCCGGAGAGTATTCTGAACATCGTTTTCCCACACATTCTGCACATAACACCAGATCTAAATCAACAATCTTTATTCACACACAAATCAACAATCCTTCACTCAAAGATATACAATATTTAACGCAAAGATAAAAGCGTACAATTTCTTAATGGCCCATTTGGTAATGTTTATTTAGTCAAAATGACTGCTTATTTGGCTGAACACGTTTGGTAACATCAATTCAGCCATACAAGTGACTACTTAACTTGCAGGCTCGCCGCTTTGTACCGTTGTTTTTACTTTTTAGGCATATCAGCCAACACTATTTTTACTAAGACTGAAGTACTATTTTAGCTTCTTTATTTCCCTATAATATTCCGTCTACTTAACTAATAAATTGTAATTTAAATACAACTATGGCAAATTTAGTCTCACCACATGGGCTCCAATGAAAATACTGCTTATTCTGCGTATAAGTAGAATACGCAAAAAAAAAACATATAAGGAGCTTAGACACTTAGACATATTCTACCAAATGGATCCTAATCTTTTACCTGCTGCAGTGTGTGAAATGGTGCTGTATTAGGGAGACTGCTATACGTTCCCGGTGGAATACCGCTGCCAGGGAAAGGATGTGATGAGTTGAATCCTTGACCAGGAGGTCCATGAAGAGCTTCGTTATTTATGCCATGCGTGTGAAGAATCTAAACAGAAGTCAATCGTTCTAATAATTAAGCTTCCTATATAATTTCTTTCTAAAATTCATTTCATATGTATGTGTGTGTTAGTGTGTAGAACATCCCATTCAACTTACGTCCTTGGATAATACTCTTTCCATGTCAAGGTTCATCTCTGGATTCACAGTTGCAAGTTTCATTGACAGAAACTGGAAAATGAATGCAAGATCAGAGGTCATCATCAACTTAAAAAATAAAAGAATCGTGTCTGCATATTGCAGATGGATCAATTTAGTTAAATAAAATGTCTAACCTTAATAATACAGAATATTTATTTTGCATCTTTACTATTCCATTTGTCCGGACTAGAATTGAACAAAGCTTTGACATATGATTTTGGGAACTAGGACTAAAATGTAACATATTTCTTCAATTATGAGTGCCACCGTTTTTTGTGAGTTAATCTATTTCGTATCTCTCAAAAAATAAGAATTATGGGCTACTTCTACTACCTATTTATGGACTAATGAATCTTATTTTAGGATATAATGAGGATACTTCTCTAAACGTGCATAAGACCCATGTTTACTCATATTTGCAATGATTTCTTTATACGGAGTAATTTGCAGAGGGAAACCCTAAACATATATGCATGTTTGTCATAATCGTACCCATATTCAGCGGCAAGACAGCATATGGACTTTAAGAAACAGGGGGGAGAGGTGTACTGTAGCACACTTTTTCAGTGCATTGACCTCATCACCATCACTTATTTTTCTTAAATGGCTGAAATATAATAAGATGATCTATTCTGTCTCCTTTTCTACATATATGTACTCCCTTGGGTTCTCAAACAAGTTCTCAAATTGATTTTTAAGATTTTTAAGAAAATTAAATTTTTTCTTTTGACTTTCCCATAATATCCTTACAAAAAGTAGATTAGGTTTAGTGGAGATAAAAGGTGGGTGTAAGGTAGCTAAACAAAGTAAAGGTATAAGGGTAACTTTATGATAAAAAAATATTTCCAAAAATAGAAATGAGAACATTAATTTGGACTTTCTGAAAAAGGAAAGTGATATCTTGTTTGAGAACTGAAGGAAGTATCATTTTATCAAATTACTTCAAGAAAACATATTTTAGTTATATTTTAGGACAACTCGTTTGAGACATATGAACCGGACAACAACAATTTCACTCGCTTCCGCCTAAATGCATACAACAACGACAACAACAACATCTAAGCTTTAGTCGCAAAAGAGCTCGGGGTCGGCTAACATGAATCGACATATGAAATTGAAGTTAAAAGGGATAAAAAGATCAACTCTCCACATGTATACTCTCCACTCACTTCAGCCTAAAGGTCTAATTTACACTAAATCACTTTAGGCTGACAATAAACCTGATAATCAAAAGCAATAAGCCAATTGCTTCAGCATGCACTTGTAGATCTGAACTGAATAGAAAGAAGCGGTTTTACATCTAACATTAGTAAAATATGGTGAAACAGTTGAGAACAGAAACGTACTACTTATAAATATTGTGCAAAAAAATTTACTAAATATGTCACTTTTAGTATATCACTATCAACACCACCACCACTGCTATACTAAGAACTTTTTAGTATGACAATATGAACAACAACACCATCACTAGTAACACTATCCCACGTGTCAATATGTCACTCCAATTAGCGAATACTTTTTAGTTTATCCAGCGACTTCTACAGTCTTGCCGTTGAATTTTGCAGGAAAAAAACAGGTCAGAAGTTGGCAGCAGTAGCCATTGGGAAGTTGGTGGGTTACAGAAAAAAGATGGGGATAGATTTAGGCATTGAGATAATTTGGTGTCTTTTGGTTATGTTAAAAGTAGCCCTATGCAAAACATGTGTCAAAGGAATAGAACATGTTATGACTGTTTTACACATATGTGGATGATTCATATATGTCCAAAAGTTAGTCAACCTAATGTGTTATGCAAAAGATTGCTCTACAAGATGTCTGCCAAACAATATACCTCAACTTGTTGCTGGAGTGATTGCACATAGTTGATAATCTCATCAAGCATAACTGCCTTCCCAGTGATCTAACACATCAAAACCATTTTAGAAAAAAGAATATCAGCAGAGTAAATTGACCAAGATCTAAACCAAACAAGTGTAAAGTAAAACAACCTTATTACAGCCTGGGACTAGTTCTTGAAGCAGTCTCATTCTTTCACTAATTCTCTCCCTTCTCACCTGTCAACCATAAATATAAACTGAGCATCCAAAATGTACAAGTATATATGTATAACCAAATCCATTATAGGAGAATAAAGAAAGTGTGATTGATGGATTTACCCTTTCCGCAAGGCTGTGGCTGTTAGTAGCCTGCCCACGTTTAGCCCTAACATGCACATAATTTTCTTTGGGAGGTTCTCCACTGCTGGAATTATTATCCTTGATGACTTGTTTACCCCCTTGCTTACTCCTCAAACTAGAATTATGTTCATCATGTTCTGAGCAGTCTCCTAAATGGTCTTTTGACTCAACATTCTGCAAAATTAATTAATTAAGTTAAGAAAACAATCTATCAGATATACACACAAGTACATAACAGATCTTATATTATAGATCCAAAAATTTATTATTATTATTGTTATTATTACTATTATTATTATTATTATTATTATTATTATTATTATTATTATTATTATTATTATTATTATTATTATTATTATTATTATTATTATTATTATTATACCTTACTGGCATTTGAAGGAGGGACACAATCTGATGGTCTTCTCTTCCTTGCATTAGGCAAAAGATCATAATTTAAGTGACAATCTGATAGGCCAGAAGAACCAGTGAAGCCCCCATTGCGGAAAGCTGGAACCTTGTGAACCATATCAAGGTGATTATCAAGCACGCCTGGGTAATGCAAATTCTGGTTCACAATAGGGTCCCAAAATGGTAACGGGTCTATCCCAGTGGGTGGCCCATAAGTGGGTCGGAGCCCCATCTCACCATCATCTTCTGTATCCATTTCTCAAACAAAAAACCCCGGAAATTGCGGATTTCACTCCGTGCACCTTCAAAAGGGTAAAGTCCCAATCTTCTGCTGGGAAAATCAAGATCAAGGAAGCATGTATATATTTAAGAAAAAGGTAAAATGGGTTTGACCAAAAAGAAAGACAGCTGGTAATACCTTGAGGACTCAACAAGGAACAAAGTAAATTGGCAGCTTTATTATCTAAGCTGATTATTATTATAGGGTGAATTAAAAGAAATGGGAAAGGGGAAAATCCAATGCAACAGGCATAAAATCTAAGCTTGCGTAGGAGCTTCAAGAACCCTTGGATCTAGTCTAATCTCATGAAAGAAAAAAGTAAGAAACTTTCAAAGAGAACATAAAGTAGGCAACGAAGAAACGAAAAGGTTCAAGTAGTCACAGCTCACCAGATGAAGTAAAGAGAAAGCAGATTCCCTTTCTCTGGCGTTTTATACTATTATTATGATTATTATTATTAGGCGCAGCACAGGCCATGATTGCAATTTTCACGATTTTCAAAACACATCTTGATCCAAACGAGGCTTAGAATCTTGTTTGAATTGCACAGACAATGTGAGGATCACACCACCCTAAAGTCTGACCAAGAATAGCCAATAGATAGGTAAAAAAGAAGGTGCTTTTGCAGAAACATACCAATTCCTTTCTTGTAAAAGAAGGCTAGAATCAACACCCAGAAGGATCAAGATTGTGGTAGATAATGAGCTGGGGGGCCTCAAAGCAGGCAGGGGCTTAAATTGGGGGGTCTGATGATGGTGGTGGTGGTGGACTGACTAGTAGCTAAAGCTCTGACCGTCGGTTTAAAATAAATTCCAGACGATTACCTCCGAATGAAGACAGACTAGCAGTAGAATATAAAAATTGGCATTCTACCTTTAATCAATTACATTTTTTTAATTAATTAAAGAATAAATGTTACTTGCATGAGTAGCTCAAGTGTTACCCAATGAGCCAGTAGGGGTGGGCAAAAAACCCGGTCCCGGTGACCCAAACCGAAAAATCCCGATGCCGTTCCGAAATTATCCCGATCCATTTAGGATGCAATTTTTTCATCCCGAATCGGTCCCGTACCGATATTAACTGGGACGGGACTGGGATAACTATAGAATATTATGTCCCGTCCCGGTATCCCGGTGTCCCGTTTAAAAATAGTAGGTTATTTTAAATTTCTAATGATATGTAAAAGCCAAACTCAATTAAAACTTTCTAACCCTTAGTCTCCTTAATGTCATTTTATCGTATTTCATGTCTCTCTTCGTCTCGTTTCTTTTGTTTCTTTTGTTTAAATTTCTTTAGTTCTCATTCTGATACTACTCCGTAATATATTATTACGTGCGGAATATTATTATGATGGAATAACAACTACTCCAAAATATAGTGTTGTTATAGATTTAATATTTTCCAAAATAACAACTTGTAAACATATATAGTCCTTATAGATATGATATTTAATTTAATGTGATATTGAAAAGTTGCAAGTGTACTACAAAGCATAAAAATATTTTGTGCTACTATTCTACGAGGAAACATAAGATTAGGGGGGGACCAAAAAAAGTTATAAGACAATAATTAAAAATAGTTAATTAGAGGTTTTACTTAACTTATTAGATAAGGTAAATTTGCAAAAATAGTGACATCTTTATTTTGATGTTATCCTTATTTTTATATCACATTTCACAAATGTATATTTTATGGGACGTCCCGGTTTTTCTCGGGATGTCCCGGTCCCATTTTAAATGGGACAATATTGGGATAATGACTTATCCTGAACCGGACCGGACCGTTATTATAATACCGAGTCGGGACCGGATAAGTCAAATCCCGAACCGTCCCGTCCCGCGCCCTATGAGCCAGTTTCATCTAATGTGATAAATTTTTGCCAGTTTCATCTAATGTGATAAATTTTTGTACGCATAGTCCTTGACTCTTTTACTTTACTGTTAAAAACACACCTACATTTCCCTCAAACAAAACACCTATATTAGTAAGACAAATGGATTAAACATTCAGACTGCTTAAAAATTCACTAACCAACTCAAACAGTTCTTAAAGCGGGGAGAATCTATGTACACACTATGGTAAACTGAAACTCATAGCAACTTAGAAATTTTTCAATTTTTTAAGGAAAAATTGACGAAAATAATCCCACCTTTCGCTGGTCTTCTCATAATAATCCCACCTTTAGATAATCCCAGAATAATCCCACCTTTGCACCTCATCTTCTTTCATTGGACCCTGACCATGTTTTTTACTCTTTTTTTGAAAATCATATAAATAATCTCACCTTTCACTTTTCTGTTATATCTTTATAAATGTGAGATTATTTATATAAGATTTTCAAATAAAGGTAAAAAACTTGGTCAGGGTCCAATGAAAGAAGATGAGGTGCAAAGGTGGGATTATTTTGGGATTATGTAAAGGTAGGATTATTATGAGAAGACCAGTGAAAGGTGAGATTATTCTTGTCAATTTTTCCTTTTTTAATGTAATTTATTTCATTTTTTACATTTAGCCCACCTCTTTAATATATAAGCCTAGTATAATTCCTATTCAGCCCAGGGCATCTCAGATTCCTGGATCCGCCCCTGACTTAAAGTGAGGTTACCCCCCTCCCCGTCCGTCCTCATATCATGTTACCCCGATCTCCTACACTGACGCTACTCTCTACCCATCCCCTCGTTACACCTGCCCCTACCTTCTTCCTACCCTTATGGGTAAGGGTAGCATAAAGGTAGGGAAAGGGATAGGGATCAAGGGTAGAAAGTGGGTAGCAATTGGGATGGGCCCCACTATTATGTACTACATTCGTCCCTTAAAACTTTGCCAAAGTTGACCGGAACGGAGAATAATAAAGTAAAAACTATGTGGTTGAAGTTTGTGCAGAGGACAGAGAAAATAACAGAAACCACAAAATATTGATTAAAGGGGAAAGTGACAAAGTTTTTTTAGATGTCCTAAAAAGGAAAGATGACAAAGTTTTAAGAAATAGAAAGAGTATATTTGTGTGTCATGAATGTTTGTGTGTACATTTGTGTGTCAAAAAAATATACATTTAAATGTTACACGGTGTGTTAAATATTATGAAATAAACATGAACTTATAGCACTACTTATTTTACGTGTCTTAGTAGCGGAAATATTAAAGAGTATCGTTAGTATCCTTAGAAACTATTTATTCGATTTTATCGGACACACTTTACTTATCATTTTGATTTGAATTTCTTCTTACCCACCTTCTACATTAATATTTCTTTCATTAATATTACTTATCATATTAATGAGCCTGCATTGATGGATGTAGAATTGTAGATCGGTCTTTGGTTTATTTAATTTGATTATTTGATTTTTTAAATAAAAAGAATCAAACTTTCATCTCTCTGGGTCATTCAACTGTTTAATTCTTATGTTTAAGCAGATGGATATACAAGCATAATGCAACACAAATATATAATCATCTACGGAGTATATAGCATCATGGCTAATTTAAGTATTAGTTTATTTGTTTATTTCAATTTAAGTAGGATTTTTTATTTTTTATGGAAATCTTTACTTTTCTTTTTTATTCAAGTAATTTAATTATATTTTGGATACCTACATTTCGTAATCTTAAGATTATTACCTCCATTTAACAATATCTTAAATACCTCCATTTTAAGTTAATGCTAATGTTTACTTTTTTGTTTATATGTGCAGTATGATTCAGGGGTGTTTGGAACTGATTCTGCTTCTGCTTCTTTTTTAAAATAGAAGCAGAATCAGAATCAGTTTTCAGAAGCTGGTACCTACCAGCTTCTAAAAAAACTGATTCTGAGAGTAAATTAGAGCCCCAGAAGTGCTTCTGGAATTTCACCCAAACACTCCAGCTTCTGCTTCTGCTCCCTGAAGCAGCAGAATCAGTTTTGAGAATCAGATCCAAACATCCCCTCAATTTACTTAAAAGTACTACGTTTATTTTTCTAATCTAATTAAATTTTAAGCATCTCCATTTGAGTTTAAACATTTACCTAAAAGAAACTATTCAATTCAATTAAAAGCTAAGTACATAACCTAAGTATCACTAGTGTTTTTTGAGACCCCGAAGGGGGCACTAGCCCCCTATGTTCCCATATCCTCCACTGTATATTATGATGTGTAAAGAGGAGAGGCCATAGATTAGGTAGGAACTCAAGGAAAAGAAATGAGGATTTGGGGCATGTGAGTTTTTTTTATCATAAAAGTGATGTCCTGATATATTTACTCAAATGAAATAAAATCATAATGTGCTACATGATAACTTTGCTCAAGAGTCTTGTGAAACAAAAACAAAAGGTTTAAGTTGTTGCATCAATAAATAATTTTCGAGGTGCGCGTTTTGCAAGGGGTCCAATGTCCATGACATCCCAAAAGTTTAGCATTGACACCATCAGACACAATGCAACCTTCCTTCTTGTAGTTCAGATAATCAGCACGGTTGAACTTTGTGAAACCTCATTTTCTGCTAAAATGATCTTTTGGCGACCAGGAAACTTAAACTTGGCACGACGCAAAGCCTCCTGTGCATTTTGACTGCTGGAATCTTTGCATCGAACGGACAGAAGAACCTGTCCAATGGCAACGCGGGCACAGACACCTAGCGGCTTGCCCAACGCCTCCCAAATTTCCGTTTGGAACCTATCAGCCCCAGCACACGACAACATCTTATTAATACGAAGAACATGGAAAGGGTGAACCCTAACCCTAAGGTGGAAGGCATCTTTTCCTGCAAACTTGGTCATGTACTTGTTGCAAGCAATTCGGGCAACTTCAAGGACCTCACTCGAGACATTCTCCTTCTCCCAGTTTACCAAATGCACGCAGAATGGAGACTCATCAACTCCCTTTTTCTTCATTCCCACATCATATATCCTAATCTTTGGGTCAGGCACCCCACGACAGTACCTTGACTTTGGGAATGGCTTGTTCTTAATCTGGCGGTAACACCTTGCTGGTCTTCTCCCCATCAGAACTTCTTCGCCAACTGGAATAAATAAATGTAAAAATGCTTGGTGTACCTTTTGTATACTTTTGCTACATCACTACATCTTATATAAGGTTCTAAAAGTGACCTTTTTAACCCCCTCTCTCATCCTTCATTCTCTCTTTTGTATTTCTATTTTACCCTTCTATTCATCGTTTATCTCTCATGCATGGTCATGTATTGTTATGATAGACACAATTACACGTGCACATAGACACAATTACACGTGCATATTTATAAGTAATACTATAAATCATTGTTAAATGAGCGACCGTACGGATCATACGGCTCCCTAACCATGCTCAGCTCTTAGCGAATAGTCGGGTGTGTGTGAAAGTGTCTTGAACAATTTAAAACTCTCATAAACTATTATGTGATTGTTGTCTTAGCGGCCACTCCAGATTATTAACGATAACAATTAAACTATTGAAACACATTAAACAAGAATCATGCCATCAATCCATCAAGAATAGAAGCTTAGATCATAGAATGTCCTTTCACCAATATCAGTTCTCTAAATAAAACAATTCATTATTGAATGTACTGTAGAAATGTGAAATAAGAATTACATGAAATTAATTGGATGATAGGAATTATAAATAAACATCGGAATTCAATTGATCCAAAGCTAAAAACAATGACGAAATCATCCTAGAGTTGTTTCTAAACTTCGTAACCTAAAAATCAGTTTCTAAGCTATCTTTAGATGGGATGAATTCATAAGTACTGGATCCACTTTGGTCACACACGGTCCAACGATCTACCAGCGTTATCGCATTCTTCTTGTACGCCCATGGTGTTACACATGACGTGCACGTATATTGTTCAACCTTCTCAATGTGACTAAAAGATATGAATCCACATGGCGTTA